CCACTTCCGGTTTTCTGGTGGTTTATTGGAGATAGGAGTCTCAAGGTCTCAAGGTCTCTCCTGCCCGGGCTGGCAATCCTCAGATCTCAGCCTCCTGAGTAGCTAGGATTACAGGCGTGAGCCACCAGCACCAGGCTTGTCGTGTCTCTCTTAACTGGGACTCTCTATTCAGGAAGTTCCTACCTGTGCCTAAGTTCCCCTACTCTGTCTTGCAGTTGTTTCAGAGTTTTGTGGCTGATGTTGAGGTCTTTAATCCATTTTGAGCTGATGCTAGTGCATGGTCACAAGCAGGGATCCACTTTTAGTTTTTTGCATGTGGCTGCCCATTTTTCCCAAAACCAGTAGTTGAAGAGGCTATGTTTTTTCTGAGTAAATTTAAGCCACCAGTGTCTGTCCTGTCCTTGGCTTCTGAAAAGTGCAACAAGAAGTTGAAAGCTGAGGAAGCATGTGAGTGCAGAACTTTTTTTTTTCTTTTTTGCCAGTCCTGGGGCTTGAACTCAGGGCTTGGGTGGTCCCTGAGCTTTTTTGCTCAAGGCTAGCACTCTATTGCTACAGCCCCAGCACCAGTTCTAGCTTTTTCTGTGTATGTGATGCTGAGGAATTGAACCCAGAGCTTCAAGCATGCTAGGCAAGTACTGTATCACTGAGCCACCTTCCCAGGCTGAAGGCAGAATTCTTTTTTTTCTTTTTTGTTGGTCGTGTGAACTCTAGGCCTGGTCACTATCCCTCAGCTCTTCAGCTCAAGGCGAGCACTCTACCGCTTGAGCCACAGTGCCACTCCCGGTTTTCTAGGGGTTTATTGGAGATTAGGGACTTTCCTGCCCAGGCTGGCTTTGAACCGTGATCCTCAGATCTCAGCCTCCTGAGTAGCTAGGATGACAGGCAGGCGTGAGCCACCGGCGCCTGGCCTGAAAGCAGAATTCTTGATGTCACTATTTGTCTAACAGTTTACAGGTGTCATCTAATTCTATACATCCTGCATTGCCAACTAGTTCATAGAACCCAACCTAGTTTCCGCATACGTGACTTTCGCATTCACCACTCATGACTTATATCCAATATCCAGTTTCCAGTTACACATTAAAATAGCGAGCAACGGTCCGGTCACGAACAGCTGAGGGCCCAGTACTCAGAGCCGCCGGCTAGCTCTCGGCCCACCAGCCTGAGCGTCCAAACCACGAGCAATCAGCTCGGAAGACCCGCCCGGCGCGTCCGCCGAGGCCGGCCTC